AGTTCAGAGATAATAAGGGGAATCTACATTTGATTTTTATTGATTTAGAAAAAGCTTACGATAAGGTTCCAAGAGATATCCTTTGGAGAGTTCTCGAGAAGAAATGTGTTGATATGACTTATATTCAAGTCGTTAAAGATATGTATACTAAAGCTGTTACTTGTGTTCAAACTAAAGGAGGATTTACAAAATATTTTCTTATTTATGTTGGATTACATTAGAGATCGGCATTAAGCCCATATCTTTTTGCTTTAGTTATTATAAAATATGAAAGACTAGGATATTATATGATTTTTTATAGACTCCCAAACATATTATATTATTCTCCTTGTATTTTTGTAGTTTAGTAGAGTGATTACTCCTACGTTATCTTTCATTAACTCATTATATTGTTTTAATATTATTTCTAGATTTTAAACATTTAAACAAAATAAATAGAAGAAGAGCAAATGTGCATAGAAGTTGGAACAACAAACGGAAAAGTACAAATTTTTACTCATTAATTTTATTGATTTATTTAGTTGGCTTTTTATTGTATTATTTGAATATTAAATTATTAGTATAGAATTAGAATAACAGAGAATTGATTTCCACCTTCCGATCGTTCGTTCTCGTCTGGGTTAACTACAAGCCACGGGCCAAGTTGCGACAGTATCAGTTGTATTCTTATTTATGTATTAAAATAAATTTCTTTATGTTATTACTGGCATACTCTTTTTCTTTTGAGAATGCAAAACATGTTTTTTTTTTTCATCAGTGTACCACATTCCGAACACGGCTTTTTTTTTTCATCAGTGTACCACATTCCGAACACGGGGTTTGACAAGAAAAACTATAACGCAAGTATATAGCTAGTTTAATTACACTTGTAGGCGCATCACACTTTAGATGTAATATAACATGAATATGCTATCTACATCCAACAAGGGCACTCTGGAATGCAAAGGGTTCATGCTCCTTGCTAGATAGTCAGGTGTGTTTGGTTGAATGCCTTTTTTAGTGGGAACAGGGATTCAAGTTTAGAACATTTAAAAGTTAAGTTTACCTTCCGAGAAATTAAGCATGATAATAATGCAAAAAAAATTGAACAATATGCACTCAAAAAAGTTAATACGGCAAAAGGGAGGATGACGATGAAATCATACCACCATGAGTTCATGCAAGCCAAGAGGTGCAGTAATGATATAGGATATGCCAGAGTACTCTCCAGCTGCTTCAGCCACCAATGCAGGGATGTCCTGTATTTCACAAATTAATATAACAGTGTACTTTATTTCATTTTTTTTTTATTTTAGATGGTAAAATGTCAAAAGAAAGCACAAGCTAGCATAAAACTTTTCAGAAATTCATGAATTCAGAGCATTACCTTATACCAATGTCGCCCTGGCAAGAGGAAAAAAGGGCTAATAATAATATGATTTGCTCCTTGCTGCACGCATAGCCTGAATGCATCTTTAATTGTTGGTTCAGCCAATTCCTGTAATTCAATAACTTTATCATTATAGACATGTTTCGTTTCATTAAGATTGCCTTTCATTTTTAACTGCTCCCACAAACGGTCGTAAGAATATAAGCAACCCAGCAAATGGAAAGCTGTATACAGAGCATACCCACAAAATTAATTTCACATGTGATGAGGATAGAGAAGAGCATAAACGAAATTATACAAAGCATAACAATATAAAGGATTAACAGAAAAATTAAAAGCACATCTAACCAAAACAATAAATTTTTTATGTCTTCCCAATACTTGTAATAATCAGTAAAAAAAATGATAATAAAATTAATAATCGAATAGACATACAAATAAGCACCTTTCGTTTTGTTTTTGAGTCGCATATCCCTTTCTAAGAGAGTAGAAATTGAATGATAGAAACAGAGAGCTAGAAAGAAAGAGGGAATATGAGAAAAAGAGAGAGAAAGATAAGAGAAAAAGAAGAGCGACTCACCAGGTGCATCATTTCCCTCCATATCGTGCTTGACAGAGCTTGAACGACTGACAACTGCCACGAACAGCAAACGAAGGAAGGAGAAGTTGAATCGAGCCATTTTCCTCCATTGGCACAAGTAATCGGGCGTGAGACACTCAGCGTGGCCTTCTGTGCCTACCCGAGCAATAGAAGGAGGAAGAGGAGGATCTATACGATCGAAAGCAAAAGAGGCAGAAAGGCAGGATCGTTTCCAACCTACCTTGAGGGTTCGAGAAGTCGAAGGAGGAGAAGAAGAAGTTAAAGGAATAAGTAGAGGTGCAAAGGAGGAGAAACGAAGTCAAGCATGCGAGAATGATTATATTAAGTAGTACAAACCGTCAAATACTCTTATATTTTTTATTCTATTTAGTTGGCATACATATCATCTTTCTTTTCATTGAATTACTATAGATTATGAGTATGAGTATTCACTAACTTTGTTTAACTTAATATTATTTTAACTAATTTTACAGGTTTAATTAATTAATTAAAACGTGAGCGATGGAAGAAAAATATTTACAGACAACAAGGACAACCAAAAATGAGGTAAAATTTAACTGTACTGTTTTAATTTATTTTTATTGGATCTTTCATATATTATAATATTAGTTATAGAATAATTTTAATTTCCATTATTCGACCGCCCATTCCTGTCTTAGCTAATTTCAAACCCCGATTGAGTGGTGACAATACTTGACACAAAATTGCAAGGCAATAAATATATTACCTTCTTGCACGGTTAAAAGGCGTTCATATAGAGTTTATTCAATTATAAACATTTTAGAATCATAAAGTTTAATCTAATTAATTGAACTACTGCCCAAAAAAAAAAGGAAAATATTAAAAAAAATTTAACTGGTTCAATTTTAGGTTATGAGTTTATTAAGGCATCTCAAAGATTAGAATAAAAACATTTCAAACACAACATCAAAACTTGTTGAAAATTGTATATAGTTTGGGGTCATATTTGTGAATAGGAAATATATAATAAGTTTAGGGGTTTATTTGTAAAGAATATTGCAATGCGCTATATAAGCTCATGTCATTAATGAATAAATGAACTTTTTGAGCATTTCTTTTTGATATCAGAGCCTAACCTAACCGAGCATCTTCGTTGTCGCCTTCCCAACAAAGCTCTAGTCGAGACTATATCATAGGGGTCGGTCACATCGCCGCCTTCCCAGCAAGCTAAGATTGCGACTGGAAAGGGCGGCGCGATGCGCCACCACAAGATCCTCTGCTACAAACATTCAGGGCATCATAAAGCTGGCGATTCTTTGCCTGGCTTGTCGAGGGGAAAGTCAAGCCATAAGCGGCTTGTTCTATGAGGAGACTCGCGACATGCTTAAGATTTTTCTCGAGATGTTATCCGCGACGTTGTCCTCTATACGGAGCACACTGGTCGTAGGACTATTACTGCGATGAATGTCATCTATGCTTTGAAGCGTTAATGTTGCACTCTCTATGGTTTTGGTTGTTAGGTTGTAGGGCAAAGTGAGGGCTTCTATGATATTACGCTCAGCTCGAAAGTGAGGAAGGTAGCGGAGCAGCTTCATTTTTGGAGTAGCACTCCATGACAGGGAGGCGAAGGAACGAAGTGGCCGCAGTTTTGCATGCGGGCAAAGGGATTGCAACTTCGTGCAGGCTAAGGCAAAGCGGATCGCACGAGCTTGCAGGAAGAAAGTAGCATGTGATATGTGTGATCTAGACTTTGATCCTTATGATTATGAATGTCAGGAAATGGAGATAGTGTGAGAGGTAAAGGATTGAAACTTCTGGGAAACATAGATCTGAAGTTCTAAAAGTCTTGGTCGGGTTCATACAAAGTGCTAGCGTCTCGATGGGAGACACTACCTCAGCACGTGCTCCGACGCATGTGCAGCTAAATCTCCCTCATGTGGATTTGAAGCCCGATGGACTGATCATACATCTGAGTTGGGCGTCAGATATATCTGAGTTGGGCGTCGGATCGAGGCTGCTCTAGTAAGGAATATATTAGAAGAATATCTGTCGTGGTAGAGTTAAATAGTGACAGTGTTGAGAGAATGAGTGGAGGATCGCAAATGCATTGCCTTGCACCTAAAAACTCAATCGATTCTTCTTGCACCTTGTATCACCACAGCTCGACATTAGTGAAAAGTGATCAAAATATGTCCTAGCCCAGGCAATGATTCCTTCACTAGAAGAGGCCAACGCCGCGATGATCAGGAGGAGAGTTTCATGAAGCTACGGTCTAGGCCGAGTAGACTTCCAGGTTCTCGGTCAACTTTGAACGTCTTGAGCTCAGATATGATAGGTGCCGGGAGAGAGACTCGCAAGTGCTACAACTATGGAGAAATAGGACAACTTAGTAAGGTTTGTTCAAAGCCACCCAAGGAGAAAGCGACAGATGGACGTGGACAGTCTAGAGGTCGTAGTCGTAATCGCAGAGGCCAAAGGGGTGGAAGAGAGAGATATTGAGCAAATCTGATGATAGTGGAGAACGATGGAAAGACAGAAGTGATCTTTACCGCTAAGGATCATGAGTTCTTGGATATATTGAAGAGAAAGCATAGAGCAACATGTGATATGACTAACGATGCATCCATATTATCGTTATCCAAAAAGAACACTGCTACTCATGCTCACTCAACAAAAAGTACTCGCAATACACATGTTCTTGCCTATATATCCACCACAAGATCATCAGAATGGATAATAGGAGGTGTTGCTATTCATATACTCACCTAGCAGTTCAAGAGTACATTCAGACCACCGGTGGTACAACACAGCATGTGATTGGCAAGAGTATAATGAGATGTACCAAATCTATGACCATGTCCAATGTTTTGCATGTTCATTCCTTTCCGGTGAACCTTCTATCCATTAATGTCATTATACTTCAACTAAAATATATTATTTTATTTTATATTTCTAAGATGATCTTTAAATTGAATGAAATTGGTACGTAGCATAGTGGACTCTAGTACTTAAATAAAGAGAGGATGGACTCAGCGTTGACATCCATTGTAGAAAGTGTTGGAGTAAGAGAATCTGGGAGGAGTGTGGAGGATGTGTTGTTGCCACATCACAAGCACATGAGACACCCTTCGTTTAGTCTATTGGGCCATTTATATCCATCTTTATATGAAAAGACAAATAAACAAAACACTTGCATGTGATGCTTGTGAGTTTGGTAAGCAAACCAGAAGCTCTTATGTTAGTTCTGATAATAGTTCATGTATTTTTGATTTAGAGCACTCAGATGTAAGAGAACCTTATTTTACAACATTGATGAATGACTACAGATATTTTGTAACTTTCATTGATTATTTTTCTTGTGTTAATTGGTTATATCTGATGAGAAATAAAAGTGATGTGTTTGCCTGCTTTAAAGACTTTCACAAGGCGATTTAGACCTATACGGTACAGTAGTGAAGGTATTATGGTTTGATAATAGTACAGACTATACCAACAAGACGTTTGAGGAGTACTTGTCAACATAAGAGAAACAACATCCAACCATATGTTCATACACATCGACACGAAATGTAGTAGAGACAAAAAATAGACAGCTTCAAGAGGTAGCCCGAAGCATGATGATCTCGATGAATGTACCAAAGCAATTTTAGGGCAAGTTATTTTGTCAGCCGCTAAATTGATCAATAGAATGTCGATAAGAGTGTCGCAATGACAATCTCCTTGTGAATTATTAAAAGAAAATAATTGTGGGAACCTCTAATTAAATGTATTTGTTGTATATGTTTTGTGAAGAATAATATACTATCAATAGAAAAGCTGAATCTCAGAGCTGTGAAGTGTATTTTCGTGGGTTCTTCTACCACTTAAAAGGATATGTTTGTTGAAGCTCAATAAGAAGAGATTGTTTGAGAGTACAGGTGTGACTTTTAAAGAATTTGAATCATATTACACCTTGAATCATATTACTCTTTGATAACTCGCTAGATGCTGAAGTTACAAGGCGAGAGAGGAGGATTAATGATGGTGAGGGATTGATACATATGAGAACAATGTCTTGTCCCATTTTCTGAGAAGGATAGACTGAGGAAGAGTCGAAAAATGAGAAAAATGAAACTGAGGGTGGCAGGATTTAAGCTCAAAGGGAGCTAAGGGTGTATACAAGGAGAAGACAGAAGAGAGAACAATGTCTGACGTGCCACTCATGCCAACAAGTCCACCTCGACTCCTAAGACACCTACACCATCCATCTCAGAATTCGATTACCTAGGTAATATGATTCATTTCCCTTCTCCTCCCACTCTCATAACATTAAAGAGGACATCTCGCAGCAATACGAGTCATCCTCCTGATCGTTTTGGTTTCTCACAAGACATTGCCTAGTTTGTCTCATAATCTAACATATCACCTTTATATTGAGCATTCATTGCATCTTTGGATACTGTCTCTATACCCAAGTATCAGCAGGTAGCTAAGGAGGATCCAAAGTGAAAGGTTGCAATGCTGGAGGAAGAAGTTGTTGCTCTCGATAAGAAGAGAACATGGAAGCTCATGTTGCTACCTGTAAAGAAAAAAAGCAATCAGGTGTAAATGAGTCTTCACAGTGAAGCAGACCTCAAAAAAGAAAGATTAATTGCTACAAAACATGGTTGGAGGCGAAAGGCTATAGTCCGACGCATGACATCGTCTATGATGAGACATTTGCACAAGTGGCAAAGATGAATACAGTCAGGATACTCGTCTTTCTAACCATAAATAGTGGATGGAAATTACACCAACTGAATGTGAAGAATGTGTTTCTTCAAGGAGATCTGCTAAAGGAGTACATGGAGATACCCTCAGGCTTTGACACAAATCAAACAATGGGCAAGATATGTAGATTCAGGAAGTCACTATACGGTTTGAAGCAGTCTTCTAGAGCTTGATTTCACGGGTTCAGGAAAGCAATGGTAAGCATGGGCTATCAGCAGATCAATGACTTCAACGACATGATGGTCACATTATTATTCTTATTGTGTATGTTAATGATATAATTGTCACTAGTGATGATGAGGGAGAGATTGCTTCGTTGAAGGCAAGTTTAGGCAAAGAGTTTGAGGTGAAGGACCAGAGACAGCTTAGATACTTCCTCGTGATTAAGGTGGCTCGTGGAGCAGAGAGGATTATTTTATCTTAAAGGAAGAATGTGCTAGACTTGCTCATAGAGATGAATGCATGTTGGGATACAAGCCTGCATTTTCACCAATTAATCAGAAGAGAGAGTTGAGCGCAAAGGCAAGAGAGCTAGTTAATCGTGAGAAGTGATAGAGGTTGGTATGGCATCTCATCTATCTGAGTCACACTCATCCTGATATATCATTTGCAGTAAGCGGGGTGAGTTATTACATGCATGATTCGAGAAAGGACAACATGGATGTAGCGTATCAGATTTTGAGATACTTGAGTTCATTAGGGAAGAGGTTGATGTCAAAAAAAATGGGCATTTAGGTATTGAGGGATATTATGACTCTGATTGGGCTAGTTGTGCTGATGACAGAAGATCCACATCAAGATATTGTATGTTTGTAAAAGGCAATTTGGTCCTTTGGAAGAGCAAGAAACAGCCAGTAGTTGCGAGGTCAACGGCAAAGGCAGAGTATAGGTCTATGACTTTAGGTGTTGTCGAGGTGTAATGGTTGAGAGCTCTATTGGCAGAGCTCAAGGTGGACCAAGGAGCTCAAAATGAAGTTATAGTTCGACAACAAGTCAACAATCAGCATTGCAAACAACCCAATGCAGCACGACAGAACCGAGCATGTGGAGATTGATAGGTTCTTCATCAAAGAGAAGTTGAATAGTAGATTACTTGAGATAAGTCATATAGCTACTAGATAGCAAGTAGTCGATTGCCTCACCAAGAGACTTAGCTCATTAGATTTATCTAGGTTGTGTGACAAAATGGGGGCTTAGTGAGTATCTCTTGCCCATTTTGAGGAGGAGTGTTGAGAATTATATATAGTTTAGGGTCCTATTTGCAAATAGGAAATATAGAATAAGTCCAGAGATTTGTTTGGAAAAAACACTGTAAGGCTCTATATAAGCCCAAGTCTTTAATGAATAGAAGAGGTTTTTGAGCAATTATTTCTTTTAACCTACACAAATCTTAAACCCATATTTGGAAGAGAAGCACAACGTATGCATATATGTGAAGAGTTTCACACTAGACAATGGCCAGTCAAACTAAAAAATCTGTACAAATCATAACTTAGCCTACAAAGAAACTGAACCAGAATTGGTCAGGTTTCTAGCCAAAGCTGCGGCGATAACTCCTACTAGGTCAAATGTAATATGTGTTCAATATAGTCTAAATAAATAATGCTGCACAACAATATTTTGACATGTAAAACATATATAAAACATCAGTGTCGTCAATAAAGTTATATAATCATGTTTTTAACGCATAAATACTGTACAAATTTGTTTTTGAAGATACGCCAATCAATTTTTACAAAACTCGAACTAGGTAGTCGTCCACGTCTTTCACAAAAAATTTATAGGAAACAAATAAGAGGATTGCTTGCATATAAAAAAGTTTAATGCAAAAAAAGGCCTTCTACGGATTTTCCATTTTTCATGAGAGACATTTATCAAATATAAATATGTAAAGCCCATCTGACCGTTACCCTTATTTCAAAGAAAATTTTTGGAAAAAGGTGGCAACAAGTTTAATTATCTGACTTCAAACAGTTTAATCAAACCATAAAAAAACAAATTGATTAAAATAATATAAACATGGTTGTATAACTAATAAAAAAAGCATAATCAAAATGTACCATATGTGCAGGCTCCACTACTTGATAGCCAGTTCTACTTTTAAACATTGCTACAAAATCATCTGCAGTTCAGCTGGAGATCTCATTAGCAGTGCTTCCAACAACCCAGCACCAATAAAACAAGGCAAAGGAAGAAATAAAACTAACCTCACAGAGAAAGAAATGCACAAAGACATAAAAATGATTGAAATAATGCAGCATATAAAAACTTCTTACTTAACATATGATTAGATTCTTGTCGTCTAGATCCATGGTCGACGATTACCACACCATCTTTTACTTGATTTGTTGGCTCTCCCTTTAAAACATAATCATTCATGATGCTCAAAGATGACTTTATGGGGAAGATAGTTCTTCTTGGCAACCTTTCAAAGATTGTAAAATAGGAAAAATATAATCTATGTTGATTCTTTTTGTATGTTGGAGCTGAAGTGTTGGCTGCTTTGTAGAACTTGCTGTTAATAAGAAAGACAACTATAACAACTCCAAATACTATTAGAAATATATTATCACGACTACAAAACATTGAAACTTCAATTCTGATCTCTTAAACAAAAGAGGCATTCGATCAAACCACTAAGCAAATGGAAAAAAAAATTTTGAATCAAATAATAGAAACACAAAAACAACTTTCTAATTGTTCAAAAAATTTACCGAGTAAGTGGGACTTCTGAAGTCGCTGAAACAGATTGCATCTCTGATGTCTATGGTTTACAACAAAATTGCTCTACTACCTCAATATTTTGACTGGCCTAATATTCAGAAAGAAAACAAGAAGTTGGATGCTGATCATCAATGCATTAGAGAAAAAAAAAAAGAAAAGATGATTGAAATGAAACAAATATTATAGTGGCATTTGGCAAAGTAGAAATTAGTTTGAGATAAACAGCGAAAAAAATATATGCAGTGCTGAATGCAAATTTATTTGTGGATGACATTAAAAGTTTACTAATAAGAATACATCAAGCAAAGAAAAAGAGAAAAAGATGAAAGAGAAAGAAAACTGAAAGAGAGAAGCCATGGAATTTTACAAGATTGCGAAGAAAACATAAGAAATGTAAATGATTTGATGTGCCAACCTTACCTTCTGATCCCCTACTTATAAGTCCAGGTTAAGGCACGACTCTACTAGAACAGCTATATACAAACAATTAGATAGCTAGGCTTAAGAAATGCTTATTATAGATTGAATAAGTTTAAATAAAGTATTTGTTGACTTTACATGGAGACAATCAGTTCTAACGAAATCTTCAATGACTTCAATTTAACCTAGCAAATAACTTAAAGTCTCGGCAAATTCATCCGACAAATTAGGTGGGTAGCCATAGTGCTTAAGCAAATAGCCTTGGCGACTTCAGTGATCCGTTGTCGGGTAACGGTTATGCCAAATAACTTTGGCAACTTGAAATTATAGGTGAAATCAACATAGACTTTGGTGACTAGCGGAAAATTGGTTATCTTTCATTGGCCAGCTTGTGAACACAACATCAATCTAACATGGACTAGGCAATCTTTGATAAATAATTAATTTTACAATTTTGATATTTTTTAATAAATTCATAAAAGAGCAAGAGAAGGAAATAATATTTTTGATAACTTGTCACATTGATCATGACTAGTTATGTAGATTTGACAGTTGGTCAACCCATAGATTGTTTCTTGTCTATAAAAATTTCATGACTTCTTTACCTTGGCTAAACTTTCTCATACTGAAGAATATGGAAAAAACCATGAAGAATACTGGCAACTCAAGAGCAATACGTAGCAGAAAGTGCTCAAGGTTGCCAATGAGCCTTCTTCCACACCTTCATAGAAGAAAATTAAGAAAAAAATTAAGGCTGACGCGAGAGTGTAAAATAAAGTTGCTACTAAGTTTCCCACTAGAAGAGATCTTCAAACAACTTATCCAGAAATTGAGATAAATTATAACTCCACTTTTCTAGACCATCTTCGATGGATGACAAAGCAACATAAGCAACACCACAATTTTGCCAAGCAAGTTGCTCGCTTCTGGGAAAAAGTGAGTTATCAACTTCCCAAAACTATTAACTATAATTTGTGATATATATATATATTGATGTCAAAAATAGTTTAAAAGAAAAACAAAGAACGTTTATCATGAGGACCAAGTTGATATTAGGAGATCTATTAAAATGTTGATTTCGAAGTCCTAAAGCATTGAACTAGTTACTTTAGTTTAGAGGAGTACATTTGAGCATATACTCGAAGATTTTGAATCAACAAACGCCATGGCACTCACCTTTCAAGCTAACCTTGAACTTAAGAAAATAACAATAGTTAAGGGGGTCTCTAAGCTTCAAATTTTTTGAAAAGCTCATAAAAATCTCTTAAGAGACTTAGCGAAGAAGTATGTTGCTCAAGCTAATAGCTTTGACACTATTTCAAGTGAAGTCAAAAGAAATGTTAGTAAAATGAGTTGAAGAATGCAATCATCATTTAAGAAAATTCATTACATCTCAAGTTAGTATCCTGGCGGTTCTTTCTTCATCACTTGATTCATCATGGTAAAGATGCTATTCTTGATCCTCTTGTATAAAGCATTGAAAAAGGGAGGCAGATCATTGCTTATTACCAAATTTGAGAAATCGCCAATGCCTTCAAGTCATCCTCCAACAACTTTGTCATCCTTTAATGTTTTTCCTTGTAAAAAAGAAAAAGAAACCTTTCCAAAATGATAAATTTTTACTATCTTTTATATGCATACACTCTTAAGTTACGAAGAGTCTTCTTAGAAATCTTGTATATATTTTCTATAATCATTTTACTGCTTTAAATAAAAAGCTATTAAGTTTCTCGAATACATAGCACTTTGAATTTTTGTGTAATTGAATAAGAAAAATCTTAGGTGAGATTTAGGTTTGGCACCTTAATTGGTTTAAATTATGATATTAGATTTGATCACACAATGTTATTACTTCTACAATTTTTGTATATACAGTCAATCGTCATTTCTATCTTTGCACTCTCTTCTTCTTTTTATCTTTGACAATAGAGCAAAGGAAGGGAAGGTAAAGATGGATTCTTTCCATCATCCCCTTCAAAACTTAAACCAAGCTACAAAGATGGAAGAGAGAAGTCGACATTCTGATGGAGCAACAACACCTGAATAGCAACAATTGCTAGTATCAACCCACATTTTCAAATGAATTAAGTTGACTCAATACATTTTTATCTTGGCCCTAATATATTTTCCAATTTTCTTGAGACTTTAAAGGCTTCAAGTATCAAGCAAAATGTCAAATTCCAAAATTAGATCAATCACTTAGAATCATCATTGCCTAAGTCTGAAATTTTCAGAAAACATCTAGCTTGATCATACTTTCTTCAAAAGATAAAATAGTCGAATTAAAATAATCTTTGAGGAAATAACAAAAAAGGCAACGCTAAGTCAACCTGTGGTCTTCCAACGTTGCAAGCATCAATGCTCACAGAGACAGGTATGTTGGGAAATAATATGAGATGCCCCTGTCAAGTCATACTAAATTTTTTTTCCGTTAGTATACCATAAGACAAGTTGTCACATTAGATCATTCCCGCCTTATGTCAGAGCTTTCACCTTTATGTGGGTAACATCTCTACACTCATGACTTAGAAATGACTTTACTCACCCTCAACACAGGTCTAGCTATTAAATAATAAGTTTTGAGTTTCACAACTTGTCTTTTTTGTCTTATAATTTACATAAGATTTTAGCACAATCATCAAATTTTCTGTTTTATTGAAAAATACAAAACAACATCAACCAAAATTTCCAAAGTTTTAAATGCAATGCAATTTGCAAGTGTTCCTTTTTTGTTCAATGTGCAAAACCCAAAGTGAGTAGAAATTTTATAAAGTTTGCAGCACACATGGATTGTATATCATTATTAAGTAAACAAAAACAATATCAACTAATAATTTCCAACAATTTAATAATATATTAGAATTAAAAAGTTTCATTTATCTGAAAGCTGAAAGAAGACAAGTCTAAGAATATTCATAAGAGGTGGTGTAAAGCATCAAAAATGTGATTATAAAATCATTCTCGAGAAGAAGCTTGTGAGCGAAAAGTTGCTAGACTAAACAACTACAGAAAATGGAGGAGGTAATCTTTGGGGCATTCAAGGAAAATATTGGTAATCTTCTATGCCAACATTGTGATTCCTATGGAAAGCACAATATTTTGGTGGATTACAAGTACAAGGTTGTTAACAGAAGCATTCCTTGACCTCAATGGCATTCACCAATTCTATATATGCTATATGCAATGGAGTGTAGGTGAAATGCCAATTCACCATTGATGATTTATCTTTCACTGAAGATTGATAGGCTCAAGGATGTCACTCTTTTTATTGTTAAAGGTATTAAAGTGGATGTTGATTGTTACGATGAGTTCTTGTGTTTTTTAAGTTGAAATCACCAGGATACTTATTCAATGAGAGTTGTGACTCTAGCAACTTCTAAATGCCTACTTCTTAGAATAGAGATTTTGTCATTGTTATACTCTTTCGCGTTTTTCTGGGTATTGTGAGTTTTGACATTCAACCAAGGCCTTTGATTGTTGCAATCCAAGTACATATATGAATAGTCCTTTAAGACCTTAGATACGTGTTGCTTAGGTGAGAATAGATCATAAATCTTTGGCATTCATCAAATGAATAATAAAATGCCACAGGCATTTGTTTGGTTCTAGTCTAATATTAAATGAGGCTTGCGAGTATTTTAGGGGTTGTTGTGCCCTAGCAAAATATGGATAGCAAATCACTTAACTTTATAAAACTTTTGATAGTCCCGAGAGGAAGTCTTAGTGACCATTTTCAAGGTGCTTCCTTAAATGTTGTGAAGATTAGTTCACACTTAAAATCAGTTATAGCAAGAAACTTGTCGACTCAAATCAAGCACGAGTCTAAGCTTTCAAAATAGGCATTTTGAAATTTGATGAAAGTTGAGACTCCATTATCTAACCAAAGAATACATTTTGTTGGCTTAACAGAAAGTTCCTTGACATTAAGAGAAAGATTATTTCTTTTCTAGATTCTCGATTCAATATAATGATGGTTACTCAAGATAGATTGATGAAGGGAAATGAAGTTAATGATGATGTGATAAATTGATGAAGTTGCATTCTCAGAGAGGATGAATAAGAGAGAAATTATATTGGAAGAGCTACAAAATTCCTTGCATCATATCTGTAAGATGGCTTGCCATTTGATTCAATTGCTTAGAAATGACAAAATATTCTTGCACTCGTATTTTTCTTCTAATTGATTCATTGTTTGACTTCTTGATCTAGGAATCAATATATGCTCACCGTATCTTAGAGAATATTAGATCCAAATGTGTTCATGAGTAACACTAGAACTGTATTGATGCATACGGGTTGTTAAGAAGAAAAAAAGGAGAGGGAAAGAAAACATATAGATAAAATTTCTAATACAACAACAAAGCCTTAATCCCACTATGTGAGGTCGGCTACATGAATCCTTTTTTTCTTCATTGCATCCTATTTAGTGTCATATTTTCATTTAGTTTTAATAAATTAAGATCATTTTTTATACAATAAGCCCAAGTCTTCCTAGGCCTACCTCTGTCTTTCTTAACATAAGTCGAATCTAAAACATCTACTCTCCTAATTGGATCATCAGATGGTCGACGCTAAATGTGACCAAACCATCTAAGACAACTTTCTCTAATTTTGTTTATCACAGGAGCTGCACCAACCCCATCACGGATATATTCATTTCGCATTTTG